TCTACCAATCATACTGTGCTATCTATAATAGTGCAGCTATTCTAGAATAATCCTCATTTTCAAGAAGTGGTAGATACAAACCAAAAACACCAGCATATCAGTGGGAGGAAGGGTGGAGAGTGGGTGAAAGGAGGTAAATACCTATTGAAAATACATTTTCAGTGCAAGAAAATGTTAACTTCTGAAATGGTCTTACCTCAAGCGGAAAGCAATTGCACTGAAAGAACAGGTGTGCAAGAATATGAAAGGAAAGCACACCTGTGGGGCCCTAGCTCTACTTCTGGCACAGGTATGCAATTTGCCCAGTAGTCAACACAGTAACACAAAGAGGGAGGAACTGAATTGGCAAGCACCAACGCATTCAGGTGTGCAAGAATATGAAAGGAAAGCACGCCTGTGGGGCCCTAGCTCTACTTCTGGCACAGGTATGCAATTTGCCGAGTAATCAACACAGTAACATAAAGAGGGAGGAACTGAACTGGCAAGCACCAATGCACTCAGTTGTAAAGCATGTCATGTATATTAGAAGTTGACATAATACAAGTAAGCTCAAAAACTGAATAACACCAATTTTAAGTACTACTAATAATGCTATTTAGGCTACCTCATTAACTGTGGTTAACATATAGTAATTTAAGTCTCAACAACAATACAACAGTAAATATTATTGTGGAGCATTGCTCTACCTGTGGCACAGGTATGCAATTTGCCTAGTAATCAACATAGTAACACAAAGAGGGAGGAACTGAATTGGCAGGCACCAATGCATTCAGTAAAAAGACATACAGCACCCAATCAGTGGAGAAGTGCTGTATTATTATGACTTGCAACTACATGGAACTGACAAACACGGAAAGTGTAGTGTGTAAGCAACAACAGGCTCAAATAAGTATGTGCCAAGGGTAGTGCCTTGGGTTACATCAGAGTATGTCAAGTGCAGTCCATCCACAACCAGTGGAAACATCTTGTATAAGATATTATGATCAACAAGTGCAGTACTCTTGGGCAAAAAACATCCAGGGTAAGTGCCTTGGATAGATAGGATTATGAAAAAAATTACAGGTTTGAGTGTGATCGTGAGGGTTTTCATAACATCCCATTGTCAACATACATGTCATACTTTGTCCACATATGTAGAAAGGCGTAGCACCAAACAGAGTGATAGTAAGCCATAGTATGGTGCCTGAGAAAAACGAAATAACTATATGTGGCTAAGGCTGAAGCCTTGGGATACATTGGATTATGTCAAGTGCGGTCCATCTGGGCAAAAACATCCAGTGGAAGTGCCCTACATAAGATTTAGATATCAACAAGTGTGGTCTGCATGGACAACAACCAGGGGGAAGCCCCTTGGATACATGGGATTAGGCTAAGTGCAGTCTGCCTGGGCAAAAAACATCCAGTAGAAACACCTTGGATTACATTGGATAATGCTGAGTGTGGTCCATCCATGTAAAAAACATCCAATAGAAGTTCCTTGCATAAGAAATATATGATAAACAAGTGTGGTCTGCCCAGGCAAAAACATCCAGGGGAAGTGCTTTGGATACTGAATATTATTGTATAATTCACTGTAATGATTTTAACAATTGTAGCCATCTTCTCGCCGAGTTGGTACACATGAGCTAGATAGTTATATTGAATTTTTCAAAACCCACTCAGGAGTAAACCTCCATGGTCCAACACTCCAGTGACTGGGAACCAGAAGTGGTAAGTATACGCGTGCTCCACTACAAGAGAGGGGAGTGAATACACATCAGGGAGTCTGAAGGAATGACACACCAGAGACAGTGCAATGGGGTCTGCAATTCCCTGTTTTAAAGAGAAGATAGATCCTAGCTGTAGGAATAATGGGTCAGTAGGGATGGGCAGAAATCCCCATCTGCTTCACTCATGAGGTCCATGAGTGACAGACCTTTATAAATGAAACTAGTAACATTTAGTGAAAAAATATATACAAATACATATACCATTGGACGAGCTGCCAGTGGTGTTACAGAAACATCCCATCTCAACAGTGAGCATTATAGAATTATTCACATCTACAGCAAATATAATACCTGACTAGACAACACCTGCTACAAGGTAGGATCCTGAAATATAATATGTATCAACTTATCAACTAAAAATATATAGAAAAATACTATGTTGACTTACCCCAGTCAAACACAAATAGACATATGTAGAATTGCCACAGGAGGAAGACAATACCTGCTTGAGGAAGAAACAGCCAGGTTGCACATATAATGTGTGACGAATGTATTGGGAGTTGTCAAAATCCCAGCCTGAATGATCTCCTACAAAGGCCGCAAAGGCGAGCAGTTACAGACATAGTTAGATGATGAATTGGGTGTGTAGAAACAGTGTGCAGACAGCAACCTTCCATGGACAACTAAGAATACGCTAGTTGTATTAGTTGACAAACCCAACCAGTGAGTCCAATAGTGGACAGATCATGGAACACAGTGTGAATCCTTGGAACAAACAGATGGGAACAATAGCAAGAAAGGAAGCATTATGAGTCACATAACATCTTAAGGAATGAACTGGACAAAGAAGTTTATCCAAATCAAATGGGAGTACAGGTGAGAAATGAAAGGTACAGAAATTGGGGGGAAGGCCAAGCCACCTGCCCAGGAAGCAGATGTTTAGGGAAGGAAGGCCTGATCAAGAAAAAAGATAACATAAGAGGAATGGTAAAGGATGCGGGAAACATCAATGGAATAAATATCAGACCGACAACAACTGCAAGCACGGAGGAGGAGGAAGAGGACTTAAGGGAAAGATGGTACAAGGAATATGTAGCAGTGGGTTGAGTGGAAACTGCTTGACCAATAATCCCTTTGTGTAGTACATCTTGAACAGACTAGGCAAGATGACTAAAAGATGTATGATCCTAAGGAGGAGGAAAGGAGATCTGGGAAGTGGATAGGGGGGAGTAGAACTGAAGACAGAAACCTTCAGACATAACCGTAGATCCCACAGAACTGTCATAAAGTGTAGCCAAAAATACACACAAACTAAATATACTTAGAGAAAGTACTCATTACTAACAAACTAACAAAACCTAGAAATTTATGGAGTCTACAAAGTACATAAAAAAAATGAACCTGCAAAACTATGAAATTCCACCTAAAACATAAAACAATAAGCAACACCTAAAGTTCAAAACCACTAAAGGAAATCAGAAAATAAAAAAACATGTAAATATCGAACTTTATAAGTCCACTAAAATAACTGAAAAACAAAGGACACGAAAGTAGAACCTACCCTGAAGAACATGAGAATAAAAAGGATCCTAGTTAACAATAACAATTTTGACTCAAATCTAATCCTCAATTAGATGTGACTAGTAGTAAAGAAAAAGGAACTTACAAACTAATTAACATAAACAGTGAAAGAAAGTATCAGTAACAAACCAATAAATCCACAAAATTGGCCAAAGTTATAATTACCCAAAAGGTAACTATTGTGCAAAACTTGTACATATACTGAAAATTAAACCAAAACAAAGTAATAATCAAACTCTAAATGCAAATTTAAACTAGAGTAATTTAGATGGTAAAAGAATTGTAAAAATCTAACTTACCAAATACAGAGCAGAAAAGACATGAAAGACCTAAATTATCGCATGCGGAAATTTGGTCAATCCACACAAGCTTATATAAACTTGCTAAAGTTGGGTATACCTACTGGGAGTGAGGAATACATGTGGAAAACTTACCACAGCTCTCCTGTGAGAAAAAACAATACCTAACCCAGGAGATTACCTGGAAACGCGGTAAGTGGTGGAAGGTGCTGTAGAAAAAAATTTCCGCTCAGTAGTTATATCCTTCCTCACAAAAAATTATAATGTGAAAGAATGAAATCATTACCCAAACGTAAGACATGAACTTCCCACAAACTAAAGCCTATACTTCCCCAGCAAATGTCATAGACCCTGAGACCTGGGGATTAATGTCAGAACAATTGTCGACTATTGCAGGAAATTCACCATCTGCCATATTAAATATTGAATTCCTACAAACAAATTAGAATTCGTAAAACAGAAATATTTCTAAAATAAACAAATAGAAACAATGGAAATCAAATACAAGAAGTCGAAACTTGAAGTTCAAACTGATATAAATTTGTGATCAAGCACAATCACAATTTTGTAGTCACATGGAGAGCAAGTTAAGACACGTCTATACACAAGAATGCTAATCGAAAAGTGAAGAGTGAGCTAGCTGCACTAGTAGCAATGGCACAGTATAATTGGAAGAGGGTAGTCAAATGATCAGCTCATGTTCTGAAATGGTGCAAAACTGATGTGGTATAAAGACTAATGCACTGTAGCAAACTTTTTAGCAATGCTTAGAGGGCAGACCAGGATCAAGGTAGCTTTGGGTGAGGGTAGGTAAGACTGTTTCAGTGATAAAGAGAGCATCTGCTCTACAAAGATCCAGACAGACTTCATACTGAAGAAAGTATAAAAAATAAACTTCCATTATTTAACATGCTTGAAGTATGAGTAGCCAAGTGTTCAATTCCTGCACTGAACTCACTTGTTCTAATTACAAGCATGTGCTCTACCCACTGAGCTAAAGAACTGACCCACTAGCAATTGCTAGTAAGGCTCTTTTCAACAATTTAAACTCTACATGTTACCATTTAAGTTGATTTGGCTTAAGAGTTCATATTGCTATGACTTATCCTAAGATTCTTACTTGACAGACAGTACAAGTTAGTCAGTGTATTTCGTACATATTGTAAAAGCAAAGTGTTGGTGATAAAGTTAACACTAACACATACCTTGATATTGTAGCTGTTCATGAAAGTAACATACAGAGTAATGAGGCAGCACTTAATTGTCATACATGAATTTACTGAAATGATCAAAACATTCATGGAAAAACTGAGATCTACATAACTTCATATTACTTAAACGTCTACTTTGCACAATTTAATGATTTTATTACTTTTTTAAAAGCTTAAATGTTTTATTGTTAAAAATTTACCTCTCCTTTTTGGGAGATTCGTTCAAAAGCCTGACATGCCAACATCCTCGCATTTCTGCTGAGAGAAAACTTTTTTTGTCTAAGTACAGAACTAAGAGGAAAGCCCACATCCATAGGATCTTTATCTCCTGAATGGAAACACAAACAAGTCACTTGTAATTTGACATACTAGTAGCCTAGAACAGCATCTTCCATAAGTGTCAGTTTTCCCTGACAACTTGCGTCTTTACATATGACTACTTTCAGTTGTGTATCTTCAATTTTCATAACAATAATAGGAAGTATATGCTATCTTTATTACAGTTCAAGCCTGTAAATGAATGTATTTTAAAACAGTATATGAATGAATTTTTTTTTCCATATACATTACTCTGGTGAAATTATATTGTAATTAAATAACAGTGACTTGAAGAATATGCAGATATTTAAATATATATATATATATATATATATAATGATCAAGAACATGCTCCATGACACACTTCACACTTGTAAAATAGTACATTTTTATATACCATATTATCTAGTTTTCTAAAAACAAAACTGACTAAGTATTAAGAGATGAGGATTCCACTGGGTGGTTAAATTTAATATTATGAATAGCTCTATAAAATAAAATAAAAAAGTAATATTGATGGGAAACTGAATTTTCAATTGTTGTTAATCATACATTCCTTATGACAGCTCACTCCTATGGACTGAAATTCCCAGTTTCAATTTCTTAAACAAAAACATCTCCATTGTAAAGCTGTTCACAATGTTACATTTGACCAATTTTTAATCATGTTGAACATGCTTTAAGAATATAGTAGCCCAGATGTTTAATTGGTATAATGTAATGAAGATGTTAACATTTTCTTTTCCTGAAAATACAGTTTCAATACATACTCACCTCTCACACAGAATAGCTTGATTCTTTCGTGCATCTGCCTATTAGATTTGCATGCCACTACCCTTGAGATACTTCCTACCTAAAAACAGGTGTATAATGTGAACTGCACACTCGTGCATGATGTTATCATCATGAGACAATAAACCTCCACCAACAAGAGGACAACACAACCTCCTTGCACAGTAGCTCACCTTAAATACTTGCACTCAAATTAATTTCTTTCTTAGAGAAGGCAAGAAGAGAGTGCATCAGAACTGGGGATGACAGGTGGGTAGGTGTAATGAGGTGAGTATCTATCAGAAAAACATTTCAGATAAGGAAAATGTTAACTTCTGAGACTATACCTCACCTCCACACACTTAACAGCTTGAATACCACAGTGAAATAGTGGAGAAGCAGTTAGAAACATTAAATATTGATAAGCTCCCTTCAAAAAATGTTCAAAAGGGTTCCATAATGGCACACTTATGGGAGATCACATCTCATCTCGACCAGGGTATAATCTTCACCCAGAAGAAAAGGCAAAAGAGCCCCAAGTATTGCAGGGATGGGCAGAATTTTAGCATGACCAGCCAAGCAATAAATCACAAGTGGTCAGCAAGCCAAGAAGTGTAGTGTGGTTAGGCCATGATCAAACCATATGGTGTGTGTCTCACCTCGACTCAAATGGACAGACCAGGATTGGGATGATGTTTGAGGGGTGACCTGCACTACACAGAATGGGGTGAATCATGTTGAGGAGACCTGGAGAAGTGCCTGGATTCCCATCAGTTGCCTGCCAAAAAGGTCCTTTGCTGAAAACAACGCAATGAGTGACCATATTTCTAAAAGCCGGCAAAAACAAGCTAATGAAGTGGGCAGTCACTTTCCTGGTGCCGGCTTTTTCCAGGATAGTCCATGGAATGTATAGTCTGAATCGAGCAACTGAGTGATTTTAATATCACATAGATGCTTCTAGTGGTCTTTCAGAACATCCCATCTCAACAGTTGGCATTGGCAAGGCCAAAGTGGATGAGTTGAGTGCTTTCCATTATACCCAGCCTGATGCAGATTTTGGGAAATAAGCATATTATGGGAGGCAACACCAACCACCTGAGGGAAATCCTATAAAATGGAAAGAGTATGAAGACAAAAAAGTTTCTGGACAAACAGGGGTCTCAAGATGAAACAATTGATGACAGGACCCACAATAGGGAAATATATATGTGCCAAGTAACTCCAAACAGCCCAAAACTGACATAGTAGATGACTGGGTCTGAATGGACATAGAGATGAGAAATCGAAGGGAGGGAGACAGAAGAGAAAGACCTGATTGAGGAGGAGAATTAAGTAAGTATGATGAAAGAGAGTGTAAGAAGCATCAATGGCATATGCATCCAAATGACGATGAGAAGGAAATATGCCTTCATAGAAATATATGGAATATAACAGCAATGGTTCGATTGGAGGATGTGTAAGAGCATGTAAAACTACATTAAGGTTCCAGTCAGGAATGGGAGAAGAACGAGGGGGTCAGTGAAGAAGGAAAGATCTGAACAAAGTGAAGAGGACAGGCAATGGATTAAACAAATTCCATGTGTGAAGATGAAGGAATGCCACCAGAGTCAGAGCCCCAAGCCATGAAAAGAACTCGTTGGAAATGAACCCAAAACAGCAAGTCAAGTGCGAGGAAGCAAAATCCTGGAACAGGTACCCCCTGATGATTGATATCAGAAACAACCAGGGAATTGTCAGAATGGGCTATGGCCATTTATTCCACAAAAAGAGGGAGGAAATGAGAACATGCCTGACACATGGCAAGAAGTTTGAGTATGTGTAATGTGAAAAGAACACTCCTCTAGAGCTCCCTTGCCAGAAGTCAATGTTGTTTTCCCAGCTCAACAGAGAAGCATCTGTGAAGAGGAGGCATATGTGTGTGTGGCCTAAAGGAATGAGTGGTTTGAGGAAAGCCAGAATTCCAAAAAAGTGAAAGAATCTCATGAATAGGGTGTAAATGAAAAGTACAAATCTTAGTTACAAGACATTCTATTGCTTATAAGTGAAATGGTGAAGGCTGGGCATGACTGAGAAGGGAGAAGAAGAATACAAAATGATGAACCAAATATTGAATAGGGGGTGAGAAAAGATGTGGAAGGCTGGACAAGCCAGCTTAGCTGAGCAGCCTCCAACAGAAAAATGCAGGTGTGAAAGGAGCGCTCCCAAGAAAGGGTAAGGAGAAGTCAATCATCCATAATGGAACCTCAGCCTCAGTTCTTAAATATGGCAGGTGAATGCCCTTATGACACTTTAAAAACATTAGGAACAGATACAATGCCAAAATGAAGAGCACTAAACTGGAAGACTCTATCCAAATGGAAGAAATGCAGAAAGCATCTGGACGATGGGGCAATCGGAAGTGTAAAAGGCATCCAAAATGTTGACCTTGGTAATCCACCAGAGAGAAAAGAAACCCTCCATGTGGAATCACGAGATGAAAGAAACCAGTTGAGAGACAAGCCAATAACTGGATTCCAGTCCCGGTCTTTATGCAGACCATAAAGAAACAAGAATAATAACCCACAATAGATGTAAATACTCTATCGATGGCATCCTTGGCCAAGAGATTTAAGACTGCATTCTCAAGATGCTGAAAATAAATGAGATAGAAGAGAGGAAGAAAGGAAACCAGAAAAAGGAAGAAGGAGAAGTGGAGATATAGGCTGTGGGTGAGACCTGAAGAACCTATCAGCCAATCAAAAATGAAGACCAAAGGCTGCTGAAGAGAGAGAGAATCTGACTCCCACAAGGCCAGATCGAAGAGGGTAGTCACCAACAAGATCAGTGATGACCCTGATGTCAGGAAGATGGGAAGAAAAAGAGGGAGGAATACAATAGCTTGGAGAGTATTCCATTCTAATAAGTCCCAACATCAGAGGAATCAAGTGAGATAGGATGGAGCAGAAGAAGAAGTATGGGTCAATATAGTGAAAAGAAGAGAACAAACTTCTCCAGAGCACGATGAAATGTCTCCGAAATATGATGAAGTGACCAAAGGTAATGCAGAAGGTTGGTAAGAAAGAGATTGAGGTATGAAAATTGGACACTTAAAAGGGAAATAGAAGTTAAGTGGTCTATCCCCAGAGCATGTAAAAGAGATTCCAAAGACTGGAAATCAAGGAACAGAAATCAAGAATGGCTGTCAGCCATGACAAAAGAATCAAGTAAATGAGGAGAATGAGGCATGTTAATATGGGTTTGCAGCTGTTTGAAAAACAAGTTCGCATGGCCTCTAATGTTAGGCAAAGGAGGGAAGACAAAGTAGTCTTAATTAAAAGTTTCACGTAGTAAAACACAGGAGGAATCAAAAGACACAGGGGGAAAAGAAAGAAAAGAGCATATCTGCAAAATTGTGTCAAGAAAGATATTAGAAGGATGAGAATTTTCCTTCACAAATAAAGTTGTGTCAAGAGCAAACCCTAATGAGGGAAATAGCCAATCATCCTGGTTATGTTCAATAAGGGAGAAAGAATGTCAGCCAAATGGACAAGAAGAGGCCCAGTATGCCTGAAAGAATCCACAACATGTCGAACAATGGCTGTCATATCCTCAACAGACAACAAGTTCCCAGTAGACACAGGTCTCGTGTTATTAACATTGTGATATCATGGCAGGAAATCACCAAATTATTTTTCATAAGTGAAATTAAAGAAATCACGCTGATTATGAGAAACATGAATACTAAACCAGGAAAACTTGAACAAATTTTAACTCAATCATACACTATCATAAATCTCAAGTAATTGATTAACAATTTTGAAACATGTCCATTCCAGACAATGCTGGGGAAAAGAATAAAGTTAATTTTAGTTAGAAATTACTTAGGGGGGAGCTACTGTGCAAGGACGTTGTGTCTTCCTCCTATCAGTGGAGGGCTATTGTTACATGATGATAACATCATGCACAAGTGCAGTACACATTAAACACGTTTTTTAATTGGGGGGGATCTTAAGGCTACTGGCATTTCAAAACCCTTATTTGTATACAATTGTTGGAGCCAGACTAATTTGCAAAAGAAACATCCTTTCTTCATGACCTAAACTAGATGAAATATATAACATTACAAGTACAAATTTTACACTTAGCCTATTCAAATTACACACCATTTAAATGTTTTTGCCTAATTGTGTATGTGTGTGGGAGGGGAACAGTTCCAATCCTATTTTCTTTCACTCCCCTATTACTTTAAAACTTAGTGAC